GTAGGAAAGGAAGAAATGTCTTCTCTTTTCAGACAGAGTCAAATTTTGTTGGTGCGTCAGAAAGCGCACGTCATCTTTGCTTGACAGATACAAAAGAATTCTGGAATGTATTGAAAGTGCGTGGGAATACATCAATAGGCAAAGAATGTTACATGATATGGTTAAAATCAGACATTAAGAAATGCCTGTGCCAAGAAAGGAAGGATTCTCGCTTCCTTGCCTTGCCTTTTGGTCAGCAGACAACATGTCTGTCAACGCCAAAGGATATAAATTCAAGTTTTTTATGGACAATCGAATCCTTATGAATTAAAAAAATACCACATGTAAAGAAAGAAAATAAAGCTATTGGCTACGTGTCATCACATTTTAAATTGACATACATGCCTATAATATGAAAATTTTATTGACATAAATACTTGAATTGCAGTTATGTAAAGGTTATCTTCGGTTCATGCATGGTCTTATTATCAAAGTTATGTTGATATATTCTAATTAAGATAGCATTTAAATATATATCAATATGTATAATGTATTAAATGTTTGCTGAACGGATGATAAACCTGATTTGTTGACCTATTGTTTGATCTGTTTTGTTGAAATGCGAATAAATCAGTATCTTGAATACATGATAGATTTACGTTGTAGCGTTTGGTAAAAAAAACTACCCTGCGAAAAAATGTTAAACCCGAGGTCGGTTCTACTCACTGGGGTTGATTTTTTTACCGGAGGCCAGCACAAGTAGCTGAGTTATTTTCAATATTGTTGTGAATTTATCTGTGATTTAATTCGAGGTGAGCATTACTCAGTATTATTTTCCAAAAGTATACCTAATGAGTGATTAAGTTCACTTTTAACAGAGTAGTATTCATAGAATTGTTTTTAGTCGAAGTGGGCTCTTACCAAGTTATATACTACTTAGTGACTCATGGTCATGGACACATCCAATCTGACTAAAGTTCCGATCTACTTATTTCTTTTATGTACATCTGATGACGACCGTATATGTTTTACCTTCTTTGTAATTCAGATTACCCTTGGAAGCTAATTTTAGCCATGCAATCCAACCGGTTTTTACATAGGCATTAGAAGAATTATCGAAATACCGTTATTCGAGGAGGTTTAACAAATTGTTGACTTTGGTAAGGAAAAACATGTTTGAAGTAGTAATTAACACATTAACTTGAAATAATAAGAGTCAATTTTTAAAAGGGCAAGATTGTTTAGTCAGTTTACATGTCGGCTATATGGACAACGCACCATGTTTGTTCTCGAATCGGGAAAATTACCTACGCAGTATTTTTATTCCCAGGGTTAAAATTAGAAACCACATCGCTTTCAAAATTATGAAAGCTCGCCGATGACTTGCTGTGTAAAAATTATGGTCACCAGAAATGACTTAGTATTTGGTCACAGTTAGATCTAAAAGTGGAGCGTTATTTACAGCTGATAATCAGAGTGGGACACATTTCGATTAGTTCTGTTCTTTATGAGAGCATGTTAATGAAATATATTTACACCCTTTTTATATTTTGAGTTGAGTTTAATAAGATTATTCCCATTGTAAGGCTTTTTTCACAATAAAAGTGGTTATTCGGTTATTTTTGAAACACGGAGAGGAAGAATAGCCTGAAAATTTGCACACAAGTTCTTGTTATTAATCAAACTGTATAAAGGTTTCTTAAAATATGTCCAGTCCTGTACTATATGTCAAACCACCTCTATGTACACACCTATAATATACATTCAAAATTGAACTCCTTGCAGCCATGATTGTTAACAGAATTAGGCAAAAAGTATGTGAATTGCCAGTGAATTGAAATGTTTTCATGAAATAAATTGAGAAATTAAGGGAATGTAAATGAAAATCAGTTACTTTATAAAAGTAATGTACTTTTGACACATGCATGTAATTTAAATATATTTCTTGTAAAATCTATTTATATTGAATCAATATATCTAACACGAACTCAGTTTCTCTATATTTTATACTAAACGCTAGTCTCACTAAACAATAATTAATGGTATTTGTATGGGTATTACACATATCTTATCCAATAATATTTGCTGGCTTTATTGATACAAGTGTTGTCTACTCGTTAAAATTCTGGGGGAAATTCCTGCTCAAGCGTTAACATTATTTTGAATGATTTGGGAATTGTTCTAAAGACTTTTAAAGCAGTATCAAATAAAACTTGACATTGATTAAAGAGGTCTTGTTATTCATTTTTTCTCTACAGCAACTCCTTAAAGACTGACTCTTGGGAATTAGAACTAAAATGTAATATTACATGTGATATCACTCTTATCCATTTAAAATGCATGTTTCATTGCTATTTTTGTCAGCATGTCAACAAAATACTGCATTTATAAAAAATTTCTAAATCCAAACTTAAATTCACCACTTATTGTAACGTTACTGTGTTTTGCATTGTTGTTATTGTAAGTTTACCTAGTCTATGTCTTGGTTTACAAGCTGCATTCAGTGATCCTTTCTTCCTTGAGAAAGTTTACTCTCATATTTGAAATGTCCGAACTTTTAACGAAAGCAGTGAATTTTGACGTTATCAACGTTTTCTTATAGTCAGCATGTTTAGTTTTACAACAAGAGCTTCACATTAATTACAAAGTCTTTGCGTATAGCTTTAATTAAACTCATTGATAGCGCAAGAGTAAGGCTGTGTTGGCATCCGCAGTTACGTCTCCTATGTATTGTGCATTCTCTTATTATGCTTAATATTTTTGGGTTCATTTTTTATATATGTATGTAGTTTTTAAAGATAGTAATCGTTTATAATTAAAATTATAAAATAATATAATACAAAAAATGAATTAATGATATCTTCGTGTTATCTTTATGAGTAACTTATCGTCGTCTGACTCTTAAATTGCTTTATCTCTTTTTTTTTATTACTGTATAAAATTTTGTCTCTTCCTCCCATACATGTTGTTATTAATATTATATACCCTAAAAATATTGTTCTTTATCCACTGTGTGAACACATGTATAGCAATTACATTGCTTTATCTACAGAAATGCAGTGAGTGATATAAATCTGACCAATCAAACTTTTGAAATATATCATGTGATTGCTACTTTACGTTAAGAGAGATACTCTTGGTAGTCAAGCTTAAACTGCTCTATCTCCCCTATATATCCAATTAAAAACTGTAGATACTGTAATGCAATACAAATTAAGAACAAGAATTCATGTACTCCATTTTCAAAGCAAAACACTCAATCGTGAAAAAAATAATAGAATCAAAACGAATAATTTTTCGAATTTAAAACATATGCAGGCGTTTTATGCAAAAGAAAAGCAAATTATAGGCTTGGTAAAATTTGAAAGAAAGTAGCTTTAACATCGTTCCACTCCTGCGACAAAATATCAAAAATACTTTTAAGTTAAACAGATTTAACTGATAACTTTTGTCATGAAGGATCTGGAAAAAAATTTCCAGACTTGTGTACCATTTGAAGAAGAAGAAGAAAAAAAAGTAGAAGAAGAAGCTTTATTCTTTCATAAATCTCACAATACACAATTGACTAATTCATTATAGACCATAGTCACATTTTTGGTATATACACTTATGAATTGATATTGGCATAAGTCAATAAATTTGTCAATTTAGATAACATAGTAAATGTAAAAACAGTAAGATGCAAAAAAACAGGATACACTACTCTTTCAAGTGCCTTGGATTTGTTATTACTTCCCTTACATTTCAAAATATCTAATACAAAAGAATATGTCTGAGACTAGGAAAAAAACGAATAGCTGTGGTCCTAAAAATGTGACTGTTTAAAAAATATTTTTTTTGTTCATAATTGAATGTTTATTAAGATTGATATAAAATATAAACTAAGTATAAAACATTATTTTGCATCTTCTTATTTTTGGTATTATTTGTATAAACAATTTCCTATCATATCAGTACACACTTACGTACGCACGTGCGTACAACCGCACGCACACACGCATACACACACACATTTTTACTTCTAATACTCTTATTACTATTTTCTATTTACAATTACATGGCAGTGCTGCGTGCATTTTCATTTAACTTGAAGATAAATAAATTAACGCCATTTGACGTCATATATATAACCATGAGTTTAATTAAAGCCATGATAAAATCAACAATTTTATGTTATTCTATACATGAAGTTTAACACATACTTATTAGTTGTCTTTCTATTCCTTTTCTATATTTATTAACATTAGGTATTTATTTAACGGTATGGTTTAAAACCAAAACTACATATAGATTTATAAAAAGTAACTCTTGTTGAGATATCAATCCTACTTAGCCATCCTTGTACAAAAACATACTTTATTCTTTGCTTAAGAATTCGTACAAGTATGTGAAAATCTTCTACTCCCTGTTCTAGCCAAACAAGATAAAAAAAACCCTAGTCTCGATAAAATATTTTTAACACATGAAGCCCAATTTGATTTTTGAGGCTGACTTTCCATGTCATTTAATATCATTTTATATGTATAAATTTATTCCCTATTTTTTCAATGTTCTGAATGTAAAATTTTAAGGTTAAAAAATACATCAGAAATAGTTATGGGTAATAATTAGAATTGTTTTCCATCATAACTGACAAGGGATCGTCTGAATTTGAATGTGTTCCACCCATTACCCAGACAATTTACGTAGCTGTTTTAGGATTAAAACTGGCCGCGCCATAGGGGCTAACATAGATTTATATTTGGAAATATGTTCAACTACTGATCTCTAATCTTGACAAGTAGCATTGTCTAGACTTGATATTTGAAACAGATACTGAAAACAAGTCTTTATTTTAGCTAAAATTGGAAAAGATCTAATAAAATATCAGGACTTTCAGACTTGAGGACGTTTTGACTTACTTGCCATTCAAACTTTTTTTATGAAACTGAATAATTTGATATGATCATATTGCAACAATATTTGTACATAATAAGTTTTTTTTTATTTTTAATTCCTCTCTTAATAAACTAGCCTCATCAAATGATAACACATGTATTTGATTTGGCTTAAATTTGCCTTTGCGATCGTGAAATTAAAGGCCCATAATGCCCGATAAATGCTTTTATTTCTCAAAAACTGTTTTGGTGATCTTATTTAGTTTCCAAAAACATACACACTGACTTATTACTTTAACTATCCTTTGCTACTGTTTCCTTAAATTTGGCAGTTATCACAGTGATTTTTGGAAGTCAAAATACCACTTAGTTATCATTTGTCTACTTTTATGACAAATAATTTCATATTCAGCGCAATTTTCTTCAAGTGATAAAAATCTTACATGCTCTTAAATCATTATAAACTCTGCCATGAGAAGGAAAATATATTTTGATACAGCCAAATAATGTGCCTTTTAAACCCAACAATTACAATGAAAAAAATAAGTTAAAAGTGTTTCAGCGACTTTAGTCTGTATAAAAATTCTTTTTGTAAAACTTTTTTATCAAACTTAAATTTGCTTCATTGCAACAAATTAGAACATTTCAAATTTCTATATAGTAACTTTTTTTAAGATAAAGAATTATTGTGTAACCATTTATTATAAACAAGTACATGTAAAATCGCACAGCACATTAGTATGATTTTCTGTTTTTAGCTCACCTGTCACAAAATGAAATTGTGAGCTTTTGTGATCAATTTTTGTCCAGTGTCCGTCCGGCGTCCTTCCGTAAACTACTTAAAACGGCATCCCCTCAAACTACACAGAAATGTTCATTTTGGGCCACCTTTAAAAATTGTTCAAATAATTTACTTCCATGCAGAACTCTGTTTGCTATGGCAACCAAAAGAAAAATCTTTCGATATCTTCTTTCAACAAAAACAAAGACCTAGAGCTTAGATGTTTCGCACGAAGCATCTTTGAGTTAGTGTTTACCAAGTTTGTTCAAATTAAAGACTTGGGGTCAAAATTGGCTCCGCCACAGGGGGTCACTGATTTTCTTATTGGTATATATTCGAACAAAAAATAAATTTTCTTTTAAAAACCCACAACGCTAGAGTCTAGATATTTAACATAGTAGGTATCTACCATTTTTGTTCAAATAAAAGCCCTGACATCATAATTGGACACACCTAGGACGGCCACTGATTTTTCTTATACGTACAAAGTAAAAACTTTAAAAATCTTCTTTTAAAAACCCAAAGAGCTAGAGCTTAGATATCAAGCATGAGAAATGTTCTTATGTGTGTCTACAAAGTTAATAAAATAAAAGCCCTGGGGTCAAAATTGACTATGCTGAAGAGGGTAATTTGTTTTCCTTATATGTATAAAGAAAAACTTAAAAATCTTCTATTAAAAAAACTCAAAGAGCGGGAGGTTAGATATAAGGCATGGGGAATCTTCTTATATGTGTCTACCAAATTTGTTCAAATAAAAGCCCTTTGGGGTCGTTGATTTTTCTCATATGTACACATCTTTTAAAACTGTTTTTCCATTAGGAATAGCAACCAGTAATGTTTTTACACACGTACTTTTTCAGAACCAAATATGATTTGGTGATATCAGTTTTAGATTTAGATTCTATATTCAGGTGAGCGATTTCAGAGCCATTATGTTCCTTTGTTGTTGTTTTTTTGTTGTTGTTTCTTTTTCATGTTTTAAAATCATTTGGTTAACTATAGCCATGTTCATATACTTGTTTGTATTCAATAACATAAGTGATCAGATATCGTATATTTCAATACTGTCTTCACCATCTCTGCTTATACACATCTTAGACATTTGTTGATTACAACAAACTGACCGAATTTTGGGTTTTTCAGTGTCAGCTAGTATGACCTCTCCTATCACCTCACCATTAGATGTAAACTGTAAAACATTATTGATTCATATCCAGATACCAACACACCGCCTGCTTCAGTAAGATGACAATAAATAGCCCATTGTACTTGTTCATCATTAAATGTTGTCACAATCTCACCATTGTTGTCTAGTACTATCAGTCCTTTATCAACAGCAGAAACATAAATCCTTGTAGCATCCTCACTGACAGCTAGACTTAATATGTTAAAGAAAAGTTTCTGTCCTGACTGGTCAGTACTAAACTGTTTAAGTTTCCTGCCAGTCACTGTGTAGATATATAATGATGTACCTTCATCTGAAATATATAAACAATCATTTGCATATGCAAGACCAAAACAGTTAAAATCAGTTATAATCTTGTTTGGTGTTTTCATTTGTCTGTCTACAGAAATAAAATGAATTTCTTGATGGGATGGTAATGCAACTGCTATTTGAGTTTCATTGATTTTACATATTTGGTATGGCTCTCCAGGTAGATTATAGCAGTCTGTGATGGTATAATTGTGACTATCTAACCGTTTCAGCTTGTTATTGTTGTAATCAGCTAGAATAATTTCACAACTTTCAATATAGCATGCGCTTGAAATATCACATTCATTTTCGTCAGACCTAACTTTGACAGCGTATGATTGTCCTCCTGTAATTTTGAGTAATTCGTCTACATTTTTTGTAGTTTTGTCTGTCAACATGCCAATTGTCTGGTTTTGTTTCAGGATTTGAAGAACTTTCCTGTCAGGTTTAAACTTTATGTCACTAACTGTTATCTTCATTCTGGAATCTTCTATAAATTTGTTGGCAACATTTTCAGCATCTTCCCCCATCTTCACATGAACAAACAATTCAGCTTCATTTGGGTTTGGAGAGGCTAATTTATCAATAAATGAAGTAACATTTCTTACATGCTCTTGTAGCTGTTTTAAACCTTCTTCAATCCTGCCTTCATGAAGTTTAAATTTATTTTCTATCTCATCTATAGATCTTTCTCCAGCCTGTCAAGTTGGTCATTAATGTCTTGTCGGAATTTACTTATATCGTCCAGTATCTCAGCTTTTCTTTTCAGAAGGTTCTGTTTATCATGTTGAAATTTGTCAGCTTGCGCAGCAAGGGCCTTAGCTAATGCCTTCAGCTTTGTTTGAATTTCTTTTGAAGCCACTTGATAAGATTTGTTTTGAATGAATTCTGGTATGTAGAATACATCTTTACATGTTCTGAAAACAAAAACAGTTTGTTAAAACATCTGAAGGAAAAAGAATTTGTTATATACTCTAGAAACACGTTTTAACAATTAATAAGTTATCTTATTTACTAAAAAGATTTCATTCTAAACAGTTAGTTTGCAGCTGAGTGGTTAGGTAAATATAAAAGCGTTTACCTGACGAGAAAATTAATATATTAACCTTTTCCTGCCTAAAAGAATGACTTAATGCGATTACTTGGCAAAAAAATAACAACAAAATGGCATTCCAGATTTCTTTTTTCAAAATTTAGAAATTGACTTGCCATCAGTTCTTGGTCAATGATCAATAAGCAAGCAGACACAAAGGATTTAAGACTGCTCATAGTATTTGAAATAAATTAAATGATCATAATGCTAAAAGTTACCTGTGATCAATTGCCATACATGTAGAGCAGTCAATAATATCATGATTCTGACAGTACATATCAATGTATTCATGACTGTGTCTGTCACATTTAATTCTCCACCGGAAGCCTTTCTGAAAAATATCTTATTTAAAAAATAAAATAAAAATCTATACAAACGTCTAAATATAGATATAGCTTGTCCTAATTCCATTTTTTAAAATAATTTCATAGTCATTTTGAAAATAATTGTAAGCAATTAAACTTTTATTCCGACTTTAACATTTTGATTGTCTCTTATACTGCCTTTTCAATAATATTGATTAAATCTTTCCTTTCTTCTTCACAAATAAATCTACTGCCAATAGTTTAAACTTAAATTAAGATTATGAATGTAGTTACAAAAAATGTAATCTCTCCCACAAAGTATTAACTACATTAAAATATTGATTTTAGATCATTGATCTGATGTGCTAGTTCAATGCATAATTGTCAAGTATAATAAAAATCTAATCTCCAATATGAAGTTGTTCTTTTTTAAATATTTGACAAGCGTTTTGAAAAAAAATAACTATAATATTGTTATTTAAACATATATTTGTTCCCCCACTATGGGGGATTTAAATTGAAATACATACAAAATATTTATTCACTATAACTGAACTTATTGCCAAAAAGATGAAAAAGATGGTTTAGGTAGTTGGCGAATTAGTAACTTATTGAATACAGTACTACTATAAAAGTACGCCAAAATTAAAAGGCTTTAGAGAAATAAGAATAAAAGTGTATCTTAGTCATACTGTGCATTTACCAAGGAAGAATAAACAAAGTAAAATTGACTGATACATGTACTTGAAATTTTAAGATGAATCATTTGAAATGAAGTCAGCTACATGAAAAACAAGAAAAATAAAGCATTGTCTACGAAAGACCGGTAGGGCCATTTCAACTTCATGAATTCTCGATTTCATCTTCATGAATTCACAATTTTAACTTCCTGAATTCCCGTTTTCAACATACGAAATTCACCAATTCACGATTTCAGCTTCATGAATTCCCGATTTCAACTTCATGAATTCACGATTTCAACTTCATGAATTCACTATTTCAACTTCACGAATTCACGATTTCAACTTCATGAATTCACGATTTTAACTTCATGAAGTTGAAATGTCCCTACCGGGCGTTCGTAATTGTCCGCACTACTTGTGAATACTTGTTAAATTGCTGCACTTAAATTATACAATATATTCAAATTCAAGTGCAGATATCTTAAAGGCAAAACTTGACATTGATTGAAGAGGTCTTAATAATCATTTTTCTCTACAGCACCTCAGTTAAGACTTAAATCTTTTATGTAATTTAACATGCGATATCATTCTTATCCCTTTAAGATGCTTGCTTTTTTTGTTGTTGTTTTTTTTTGTAAAATAAAAGAATCAAATTTAAAAATAGTTGACACCCGCGTTATACTTATTTTGATCCAAGAAACATCGTTTATTTACTTTTTAAAATAATGATGCTATATGCCATATATCTAAAATTCTGGCATTTTAATTGCAAAGAATAGAATAGTTTAGACTGTCCAAGTATTGAAAATAATCAATTACTTGGCAGCTTTGACCCTAGCGCCAAGACTTATTTAACTTTTATAGAGGTCCACAAGGCAATGTTACATGACAAAAATTAAAGTTTTGATCATTTAAGTTTCTGAGAAGAAAACATTAAAGTAATCTTCTTTTATAAACTATGTGACCCACGGGACGTAGCCAATTTTGAGCATGATGTATGTCATTTATAGAATACAGGGTTATGCTTGGTGCCAAATATCTAAGCTCTATGCACTTATACTTTAAAGAAGAACATTTTAAAATATGTTTACAATATTAGTCTTTGCAAACTAATTTGCCTGAAGGGCGGACCATTTATAACTCCAGGGTATATTTCATTTAAATTTTAGAGGGGTCCACAAGGCTAATCTCTGGACGTTTTGGTTTTCCAAAAGAAGATTTAAATGCATTTTCCTATGTCTATAAAATGTACGTGACCCCATTTTGACCCACTGGGTATGATTTATAATATTTTGTAAAGGACTATAAGGTTATGCTACAACCACAATATAGATGCTCTGAGCATCGTAGTTTCTAAAAATCATTTTAAAGATTTTGTTTTTTTAGTGTATTCTGAGATCCTGTGATCTGTTTTGCATTTGTGTTTGAAAAGAGTCTACTAAGGATAATTCCTGTGCAGTTTGGTCTAAATCACTATGTCATTTAGGAGGAGATCTTGTTGACAAATCTGGAGAAAGGGTGATCCCTCGGAAGCATTAATAACAGCAAAATTAAATGAAACTTGCAGACTCGGTTTGATTGAGTCTGTACATAAGGGCTTAGGAAAAAGTGTACAATCCCCATGCCTTCTAGCACCGGCTTGAGCGATACTCCATTTTCAACAATTAATGTGCTAGCATAAATAATCCCGAAGGACCAGAAAAATTTAACAACACTGAAGTGAAGGACGAATGACGAATGACAGACATCTTGCTATCATAACATCTCACATTTAAGCAATTTGTGATCAGGTAAGTTAAAGGAATAAAACGTAAGCTTAATTTAAATTCAGCACTATTGTTGTAAAAAACTGTTGCCATTTTTGTTGTTGTTGTTGCATTTTATCTCGACTCTGTCTTGGTTTACATGGCTGCATTCCGTGATAGTTTATCACCCACGAAAATTGATGCTTTCATACTTGAAACGTCCGATCTTTCCACCTCATCCGTGAATTTTGACATTATCAACATTATATTATGTCATTGTCATTATATTATAGTGACCAAGTAAAATTTAACAAGAGTTTTACATATTTTGCAAAGTCGTCTGTGCAAACAACTTATTATTGGCCGCCATACTAGCGCAATTAATAGAGTGTTTGGGCTATAAATTTGAAGTCATTATCAAACCTCGAGTTTATAGATTCGAGTTGACAACAACATAACTGTTTTACATATCTACTGATACTTCTCCTTTGTAACACTTGATACAATATGTAAGTTTAAACATTTTTATGATAAAATGATGTAACATACAAAAATGAATGAAAGCTCCGTTTGATTTTCGGCCCCCATTATTTTTATTTTTTTGGAGGGGGGGGGGTTGCATTAAGATTTACCCTTGTCCGGCCGTTCACATTATGTGTCGCATGTAGCTCAAACATTATTTGACCTAGAGTCATCAAACTTTACAGAAATGTTGATAAGCATGTGTAGTTGTGTACCTGGGTATTTTCGTGTGGATATATTTAGTATTTTTACAGTTATTGCCCTTGACTTAGTAAAAATTTGCAATTTTCAACTTGTGTCGCACGTAGCTCAACAAATTTTTGACCTAGAGTCATCAAACTTTACAGAAATGTTGAACAGGATGTGTAGTTGTGCACCTAGGGTTTTGATTGTGGATTTATTCTGTATAGTCAGAGTTATTCTGGTATTTGCATGTGTTTTTTCAGTTTAGTTAGAGTTATTGCCCTTGCTTTAGTATAAATTTGCAATTTTCAAATTGTTCATGCATAGCTCAAATAGTATTTGACCTGTATATCTGAAAGTTTACAAGAATGTTGGTCTGCATGTGTACTTATGCACCTTGGGGTTTAATTTTGGATTTATTCAGTATTTGTAAAGTTCTTGCCCTTTACTTTGCAAAAGACTTTTAGTTCTCCATAAAGAAGTTGGAAGGACGAGAGCTATTAGTGACCAGAAGGATACACAGACTTTAATCTCATACTTGGAGGAACGAAATCCTTTTATATTGAAACAGGAGTTACGTCACATTCAGTGTGAATGCATACCGAGCAGATATGATAGGCAAAGAAGTAGTGTCATCAACGGCTAGAAAGAATGCTTTTGAATTAGCTTTCAAGAGAGGTCAAAAAGCGGTAACACTAGATGTAGCTCAACAAATAAACATCAATGATGAACCACTTAAGGTTGACCCACAACTTCTTTTTCAACGATTAACAATTGCAGCACAGAGATTCAGTGATGTATTTACATATGAACTTTGTGGTGTACCTTCTTCTTTATTTAATTCTGATGGACTTATCAGGGAGTCACAGAAATGGCTTCTTGCAGAAGCGATATGGAATATTGGAGATTGCAGGCATGAGGCAAATGTTGATGAAAGTTTCAGATTTGTACTGGATGGAGGCTCATTATTACACCAAGTTCCCTGGAAGATCGGGATGTTGTTTTCAGACATTTGTGATACTTATGTTAGAAACATTACCAGCCGGTACCCAAATGCAGTCGTTGTATTCGACGGATATGCATCCGGGCCAACTACCAAAGATACGACGCATACACGAAAACTCATGGTATCACTGGGCCAAAGGTTGTGCTGATAGTTGATAAAGCTTTAGAATAAGCAGAGACCAATAATGTGGTCATTGTAGGCGAGGACACTGGCCTGCTAGTTATTGCATTGTATCACATAAATTCAACTCATTAACTGGTTGTTTTGAAGCCGGCAGCAAAACAGATGACATCAAAGGCAGTCCGTATATGGGATATTCCTAAGACCAAAAGGGTATTAGGCGGACAGACAAGAACATTGCCAGTTTTGCATGCAATATCCGGCTGTGATACAACTTCACATATTATCGGTATCAGCAAGAGTGCAGCTTTAAAGACTTTCCTTTCTAAAGCCGAAATAGTTAACCATGCCAGTGAATTTTTAAGAAATTTGAACAAATCTGAACAAGGAAGTCATCATAGAAAGCGGCGAGAAAATACTTGTTGCATTATATGGCGGACTTTATATTATTTCACTTTAAATGTCCCACTCCTTTCGCAATTGTATCCACTCAAGGTTTTTGTTTTTGTTTGGTGCCTTCTGGGTGCCCTTCTTGGGTGTGTCCGGGAGCAACGTCCTGTGAACGTTGCCTTTGCCTTGTTGACCTTTATTCTTGTTATTTCCGTTGAGACACTTGATTTGTTGCGTTTAAGAATGTTTTCGCAGGAGGTCATGTTCAGCACGAATTATGTTCAGGTAAAATCATTGCCCCCAACATCAGCTGCCGCTAAATATCACAGCATGAGGACTTTTTTTCAAGTTCATGAATGGATTA